TGAATCAATTTTGTTACGTTAGTAATAACAGAATTAATTCAAACAAAATATTTTGGCCAAGTATCAAACCTCAAACCTTAAAGCTTGCTGTGTAATTCGAACACATAAATCCAATCCAACTTTTCTCTTGTTCTCTCACTATTCAACACTTGTCATATTTTTTCCAAGAAGTATTGAAATGTTTGAGCAATCATATAGAATTAGCATTATCAAGGAATCCATTTCCAATTTACTTGAAAAGGTTTTCAGATTTGCACGTCCTATCAAGCTCAATATCTCGAGTTTTTTGTGCTCTTTAATAGATTCGTGAACTTCAACAAGGTCTGGACAATCATTAAGATGCAGCTCTTCAAGGTATGGAACTCCGGAGACATTTGGAGTTTGACGTAGAATTTTGGAATCACTCAAATCAATTACTTTCAGATATCCTTCTTTCGCAAAGAAAAGAACCCGGCACTTCAAGAGCCAAAGGAAGGCCTCCAGCATATTTGACCACACTTTTAGATAACTCAAAATAATCTTCTTCCTGCTTGTCCTTTTTAAAAGCTTTTTCACAATAAAAGTTGAAGGGATTCACATTTATTCAAGATTTTACTCTCATACATTTCAAACAATACAGAATGCGATATCAAGAGGTGCTTATCCTTAGTCGTAACTATAATTCTACTCCCTCGACCAAACCAGGCTTGGCTTCTAGCCAAATTCTCAAGTTGGCTTTTAGAACTTACCTCATCAAGGACAATAAGAACCTTTTTGTTGGATAAAAGATTTCTTAAGCTGTCATTTCCTTAGCTTAATGTTTCAATTACCATTCCTTTTATGTTCAGATGAGAAAGAATTTTATTTTGTAACTGTAGCATACCTTTGTTTCTTTCCCCCTAGACTTCCCTGACATTAGCAATGAAGCAACTTACATCAAACTGGCTTTTGTAGAGGGGTCAAATCCTCCAATTCTAGCTTTAGAGTTGAATATAATTCTTCCAATCTTGCATCAATTGCAACCAGTCCATCATTATAGGATAGGAATTTGAGTTCGAGTTTTTTCCATACTTGTGCAACAACTTCTTTAATGAGTTTTGTTTCATGCCTACATTGAACAAAAACCGTAACGTATAATCAAGGCATAAATTAAAATCATCAGTGTGCAACAAATGAAAGGCATGAACTTACTGATCCTTAGAATCCCAGCCTGACAAGTTGGCAATCTCTCTCAATGCATCTCTCCACTTTTGCACCTTCTCTTTGCTTTCGGAAATTTTACTTCATGTTTCACAATAGCCTCAGCAAAACTTCCCCTTTGATTCCTTAAATGGGAGGGATCAACACCATAGAAGACTGGGAATACTTGTTGTCTTGACAAACGTTTGGATTCGAGGATCTTAACTAACTCATCTGAACATCAAGATGAGTTATCATAGTTTTCGGAGATTATAACAACTACTGAGAGTGATTCCTCAACGGCATGGAGTAGCTTTTGTGAGATTACTTCACCTCTTGCACGTTCTTCATCATCTCTTAAAGTTATTATACTCTTGCGCATCAAAGCTGCATATAGGTGATCTGTGAAGCCTATGTGTGTGTCTTCTCCCCTAATACTCGAGAAAACATGATACTTCCATTGAGTTTTGTAAAGAATCTTCCATTGAAAAACTATAAGTTTCATCTATAGAAATGGAAGGTTGTGCTGATTTAGATTCAATCACCTAAAAAAGATAAGTTATTCAAGAAGTTATACTCATGCAAAAGATAGTACTTGCACATAATCAACCATTGGAGTCAAAGCAAGAGTACTCACCAATTCCAGTGAAAAGATGGCTCTCAGCTTCAGAATTAGTCAATGTCTTGAGAGATGAATATGTGTAAAGTTGTCTACATGGAATTGATGGTATTATTTGTTGGGAATATATTTAATATATTTAAATCCTAGGTCTTTTACAACCCTTACAAGGTAGAAAAAATTAACACTAAAATATTAGACATAATTAAAAAAATTAACATTAAAACATTAGACATAATTAAAAAAAATTAACACAGAATCGTGGATTGAGTTAAGGAATGGAACTTGTATGGATATTACTAATTGAAAATGCATAGTTAAATATAAAAATTGAGGCTTCACTTTTATTATTAATAATTGGCTTAAATAGTATTTTAGTCCATGCAAATTAGCGAGCTTTTGCCTTTTATCTTTGAATCTTTTTTTTTTTTTTGTTCAAGTTCCCATATATCCATTTTTCTTTGGCGTTAGTCCCTGTTGTGAGTGAACCGTTAAAAAAACGCTGAGGTGGGGGGTGATAATTTGGCTTATGTTTTAGCATTTATTCTTTTTTTTAACACACGTGGATATATTCCCCCCCCCCCCCCCCCCCCTAAAAAGTTATGTCATCAAAACTCATTCCCCTCTTTTCTATTTAGCACCTGTAAATTAGAGTTTCATATTTAGAAAGCATTTCAATTCAGTTAGGGTTCAGGGAAGGTGAAGGTGACTAATACGAGAGTTTGTCTGGACGAGGTGGCTGAGGATGACGAAACTACAATCGTGATTGAGCGACCTAATTGAATCTTTCACGTTTAAAGGGCTTGAAACTAATTATTTAAGTGATGATCTAGGCAGTAGTGATCCTGATGCATCAGATGAAGAGAAAAGACCAAAATATCCTAGGTTTAAGATGAAAGAGTTAGACAAGGACTACAAGTTTAAAGTTAGTCTGGAGTTTGTACCTCTGCATGAATTTAATGAGGCAATAACTGAATGGCCCGTGTTAAACGGAAGAGAGATAAAGTATATGAAAAATGACAAGGTTAGAGTGATAGGAGTTTGTAAGGGAAATTGTGGGTTTTTGGCTCTTGTTAGTAAATTGGGAAATAAGCACACGTATAGAATGAAGAAATGGTTTGGTGCCCACACGTGTGGTAGGGTTTTGAATAACACCGCTGCTAACTCCAAGTGGATTGCGAAGATTGTGGCGGCTAGGATGGCTTCATCTTATGGAATCAAGCTTCGTGATATTGTCTCTGAGATTAGGAGTACTTACTCTGTAGGTATATCTATAAACAGGGCATATAAAATTAAGCAAATTGCAAAAGTTTTGGTTGAAGGTGACGCAACAAAGCAAAATAGACTATTGTGAAGGTATTCTGCAGAATTAAGGATGGTCAATGCAAGTAACACCTGCAAAATTAATGTCACCAGAGTACCATGGAAAAGGAAGTAACCCTGCTCAAGGGAGAAGGAAGTAGGTCCCTGCACAAGGGTACTATGGAAATTGTTGACATTGGACCTGTTTTGACTTATATTTTTTTTAACAACATTACTACAATAGTGTACTTCAGCTTAAGCCTTGTCATTTTGTATTATGTATTTTGATTACAATACTATTTTGCCTTTAGCCTTAGAGTTTGAACCTTTATGTTTTAGATACAAGCATGCATTTTGGCTTAAGCCTTTATGTTTATGATGCAATGTGTATTTTAGATACATTATCAAATTTTGTGTGTGCACTTTATCAAGTTGTTTTACTTTTATGCAAAATTGAAATGACCTATTACCAATTTGGCTTTTGTGCACATCATCAAGTTTGGTTTATGCACAATTCAAAACAGGAGAAGCAATATAATTGCATATATATATTGTCCAAAATCAAAACATCTTTTTCATTCATCATATGGTACAGGGACCAATATCAAAATACATTAATGTTACAAGAACTAAAAACAAAAAACAAAAAACAAAAAAAGACACAAACAAATGGGATTCACCACCATTTGTGATAAGCAAAGAAGAACCCCCATGACGCAACCAACAACAGCTTCAAGAGAGTCGCTTTTTCTTCTCCTTCTCTAACTTAATCTTCATCATTGCCTTTTTGACAATCTCAATCTCCTTAACAATGGACCCTAAATCCTTCAACATTTCCGAGCAATTTCAACCACTTAAACTTCTAAGATCGCTAGCTGGATTTCGTTTAAGGTCATCGTCCCAAATGAACAACTTGCAACCTGAATTTTGACACTTCCAAAATCTTCTTTTATAGTTTTCAACAGAGTTTGACATAAACATTTTCATGCTTCTATTGCCACCACAAACCGATGCTTGAATGTGATGAGAGTTGACAGACGAAGAAGAAGCCATGGATGTTGAAGGTGCAGAGAGGAACAACAGGAAGCAAATGGCGAAGACGGGGAAGGAAAAGAAAAGAAAAATGTCCTTTTTTATTCATTTGGTCCCCCTTTAATAAACGGTAAATAGGACATTTCCACGTCTGTTACAGAAAAAATAAAACAAATGTTAAAATATAATCCAGCTCATCACCGTCTGCCAACTCAGCTTTTTTGAAACGGTCCATAGGAACTAAATCCAATAGAAATTGGACATATGGAGAGACTTAGACGAAGAAAAAAAAAAGAAGAGTAAGATTTTTTGAAACGGTTCATAGGAACTAAATCCAATAGAAATTGGACATGTGGAGACTTAGACGAAGAAAAAAACAAAAAAAAAAAAAAGAGTAAGACGAAAACAAAAAACACATTGACTTAAAGGGACCAAACACTATTTAAGCCTTAATAATTAATAGCTTCTAGTGTACTTCTCTTCTCTTCTCTATATATCACGTAACTTCTTCTATAATGGATATTTCATTTTTTTTATTATGAATTTATTCAAGTTATTATTTATATTTAGTTAATGATAAATTCATTATTAATATCAAATAAATTCTAAATTAAATTTTTGAATATTATAAATTTAAAATTTGGCTGTGTTTATGTATCAATGTGCTCTCTTGCTGATACAATAACGTTTTGGGTTGTAATATTTCTAAAGATATTAGAGTCACAGTCAACAGAGGAGCAAATAAAATGAAATGAATCCTGTAAACTTATGATATGCCCAAAATACAAACTGTTCAAATTATAGTAAAACAATTAAAACCAGAACCTCATTACAAATTTTGAAGGAAAAATACAAACAAATTACAAGAACTCTAGACTAAAGACCAAGTTCAGTGAGCAGACTGGTTTGAGGATGTTTTCTTGAAATCTATCTTGTCAACCTTAACCTCTCCATCAATCAGTTCATACACGTAGACCACAACACGCAGACCATCAATGTCCATGAGGACAAAACTTGGGTTCACATCATATGTGATACTGCTATAGGCACCAGTTGCAGAGCCTGGATTTATAACTACACCACCCTCGTGTTTGTATGCTGTAAACTGATGGGTGTGACCTGTCACAAGGATGTCTACATCAAGTTGCCTTTGCAGCATTGCTAGTGAATCTAGGTCTCCCCATGGAATAACCTTCAAAAGTAATAAGAACACTGTCATCAGTTCAAGGTAAGGAGGCCCTAATTGAACGCATACATGGGCAACATAAAGGGCTACAATGAGATCAATCATCCTACTTAGGTTCATCAGTTCAAGGTGTTGCAAGGTACTATAGGAATGCCTTTATATTCTTCCCTGTAGTTTGATTTTACTGTTGTCCTATGTCTATAACTTTGATCAAGAAAAAGAAAAGTATATTACCCTCTACTAGGCAGTAAAGTCCTAAATTATTAACTTGTCTCTTAGAATTTGAGTTTGATCTAACTCAACCCCTTGAAATTGGTTAGTAAGGTGAGAAATTTGTTCCATTCATAAACACTTTTTTAGGCTGTGTATCATATCCAATATAAGCCTCTCAACATTGTTCATGCCCACAAATATCTATTATAGATGAAGTGGAGAAATATTGTCAAAAAGTCAAAGGAAAATCAAACCTGATGACCATGGCAAAGTCCAAGCTTAAATTGACCAATGGTTAGTGTTTTAGTCTCTGGATATTTCGACTCTTCATCATACTCGCCACGAGTTATATGCAAATCTGGACAAAGAGTCTTCAAGTAGTCATGAACTTCCTGAGCATAATACACATAAAATTTAGGGTAGAAATTCAAGCATTAAATTAAAATCTTCACCCAGTTCAAATGCCAAGAGAATAATTCACCTAATTCCATATTATACAGCTTGAAAAAGAAATGCAACTCTTAATAATACTATATAGAATCCTCACTTTGACACCCAATCCCCTCATACCATTTAAGAAAATATCTGAAACCCTCATAAAGTTTGATTGCGGTAGGCATAACAGAAAGAGAACCCAACTAAACAAAGAACCAACAAAGGAAATTTTCCCTATGTTTAGAAGAAAGTAATAGAAGTTAAGGGTAACGGATAAAAGAAGGAAAATAAGTAACATATGTGCACTAAGCTGCACTTCTATAGTTTAAACACATGAATGTAGAGGACTAAAATATATAAAAGACGAAACCAATTATATTTCAAAATAAGTAACACAGAAACAGTCAACTAAGACATGTATTACTCATTTCTGTAAGAAAAAAACCAACACATACTTTAATACATAAATTTCCAGGGCAAATAATATGTTGAATCTTGCCAGGGACAAGCATTGATTTGAACTTTGCAGGGAGATCAGGTGCTCTGTGGGGCACATGCAAATCCCCTAGGGCCAACACCAGCACCATCCTCACCAATCAAAATCTGAAACCCGGAAACAGAACCTAAAGAAACAAAATATCTCCATCAACATAGTATTAGTAACTTCACAAAAGAATTTGTCCAACAAAATTTATGCAACTATATATCAATAAATACAATTACAAATTAAATAGAACATGTTTTCATATTGTCATCAGATTCAACCAGAAGTCCAATTGCATTTTCTAATCAATATGTAATCATGTTTGCAAAAAAAAAAAAAAAAACTGATTATAATTAACAGAAAATTTTCTTCTGGAATTGAATCTTCAAATTAAGAACAGTTGAAATTGCAATTGCAGACTTTAACATGAGCAAAACACAATCGGATTCCAAATACGCCAAATACGAAAAATCATCGGTCTCAAGAACCCGCTAATTCGAAACAATTAGGTCATTAAAAACTCGTGTTCCCAAAACAACAGAAATTTTGGTTTAATCGAAGATCGCATCAATCTCCTTCCAAATGATAGTAGAATCCAATCGGAGAGAAATAAAATTAAATAAAGAAATGAAGTATGTACCTGATGAAGGCGAAGCTGTGAGGACTACACGTCACTATGGCGATGAGCAGTGGCGGAAGCGACGGCGAGATGGGAGGCGGAAGCGACGGCGAGATGGGAATCAATAGAGAAGAGTTTGGTTAGTGAGATCAAATTGAAAACTAATTAGAAGCTGAATTATTAAACCATTCTTTTAAATTTTGAGAAACATTTTATGTTATTTTGTATTTAAAGAAAGAGAAAAAGAAAGAGAATAATGGCTAGGTATTTTATACGGTGAATACATCACAATCATTCATAAGTAATATTTTATGGATGATATTTTAAAATTTTCTGTCACTTTTGCATGTCAGTCACTTTTGAATGTCCAAGGTGAGATGCCTAAAGTGATTGTTACCGACTGCGATACCACATTGATGAATTTGATTGCAAAAGTATTTTCTTGTTCTAATGCATTACTTTGTAAGTACCACATAATAAAGAATGTTCGAAGTTGTGTTAAACCCGTGGTAGGGACGAAACAAATACAGTCTGAAGGTGGAAAATTGGTGAAGGCGGGTGTGATTGTGAAAAAAATTATGGATGCATGGAACCGTATAATAAATTCTTTCACAAAAGAAATGTATGTCGATTCCGTTATTCATTTTCGAAAAGTGTGTGAAAAGTATCCAGATTTGTTGAAATATGTCGAAACCACAATTCTTGATCAGGTGAAGTAGAAGATAGTTTGTGTGTGGACTGATAATGTTAGACACCTTGGAAATACAACTACTAACAAAGTTGAGTCGGCTCATGATACTTTGAAAAATTGGTTGCAAAATAGCAAAGGGGATTTGTGTAGAGACTGAGACTCCGTGAACCACATGATTCAGAACCAGCATAATGAGATACAAGCAACATTTGGTCGGAGCATCACGGTTTTGGAACACAGATTTAAAGGCGACACTTTATATTCTCAATTGGTTGGTAACATTTCTCGGGCGGGTTTGAACTATATTTTTCACGGGGCTGAACCAGCTGATAATGTAGGCTCCGATAGCGCAAAGTATGATTGCACTATTGTGAAAACATATGGTTTCTCATGTGCTTCTACTATTGCTAAAAAGGTGAAACTTGGTGAACCAATAAGAATGGATGATGTTTGCTCTCATTGGAAGAGACTTAGGTTTGATGAAGATGAATGCATGGATGGCGAGAATCAAATATTTCTATTTTGACCGAATGAAAAGTGATGCAAGAGAGATTTTTGAAGGCCGATGACAACATGAATCTCCACATCAAAGAACAATTGATGAAGATTGATTGCCTATTCCGAAACCACCGACATAAAACCACATTCTCAACCGGCAGAAACAAAAGGTGCTCAAAAGAAAATGAAGCTTACAATAAATGACAACTCGACTACACGATCTCCTTTATATTATGAACACGTTGACAAAGTTTTTCCCGACTCACCGACTCCAAAATCTCAAAAAAGTGTTTTGAAAGGAGTCCGCATTAGAAAACCACCTCTGACGCTGCTTCCACTAAAGATTCCATTCATCAACGAGATGCCAGTTTTTAGCAAAAATATATCGGGCAAATCGTCAATGTTCCAGGGGACAGTAATTGCAGTTACCGATCTGTGTCGACTTTACTCGGTAAAGGAGAAGATAGTCATGCACTTGTTCGACATCAATTTATCCAAGAGTTGAAGACGCATAAAGAATCATACATGCGGTTGTACGGAAATAAAGAAAAATTTAATGCGGTTTATGAGTCTTTTGTTCCTTGCTTGAGTGGTCCGACACCAGAGTCAAAATGGACGAGTTTTCCGAAAATGGGTTACCTAGTAGCATGTGTATATGATAATGTGTGTATTGATCTGACACGCTATGGTTTTTTGGAAACCTTTTTCCCATTGCGCATTGCCCCACCCTAAAATCCAAATGATCGTATCATGTGTATTGTATGCCTTTCAAAATAAAGTCATTTTGTTCAAATTTACTTGAAACTGGGATGCCCCATACCACTCACATCACCGGATTGGACGCATCATTCAATAGCAAAAGTAGAGACGTGGTCAGATCATTTTATGAAAATGATGCAAGAATTCAAGAGGTTGAACAACATTGAAAAAGGATCGAATGCACAAAAGTCCAAAGGGGTACCACTTATAGATTTAGCCGACGACAAATATTTTGATTAGTTTTAATTTCTTGTTTAATCGATTAAATAATTGTATGTAATTGTGTCTCTATATAAATGAAGTGTTATATATTCACCTTTTGTTCATATTTTGTCTTTATACATTTTTTATCTACCCCATAACAACATGTATGTTTTTGTTCAATGGAAAAAAATAGGTTATGTTTGTGTTCTGTTTTGAAATTGGTTCAGGAGAAGTTCCGGAGATGCATCTCAGGAATAAGATAATAGGATGCATTTCCGGAGATATATCTTCGGAATCAAGGTGACGGCTGATAAGTGGTCCAAATTGATCTTTGTCTTCTATACATTTAGGTGTTCTAGTTCTATATTTCACACAAACTCAAAATTTCTCAAATGTCACAAATAAAAATCGATTGGTAGGTCACAAATGTGTCCTTCTCTGACTCTACATTCGGGCGAACAATTGAGCTCAATGACTTCACCCCCTCGAAGATATCAAAGACAAAATCCACATTCTGCTATCTTACAGAGGCAAACGAAAGAGTGTTAAGCTCGAAACGCAAGCGGATGTTAGGACTGTGTGGGATACGTTTTTTCCGATTTTGATGAGAAAGTTCCGCTCGAGTTGGAAGCAACGACACAAAGATCAGTCGAAGATATCTTGAAGATGTGCAAGCGTTAACTAGGATATTTAAATGTAATATTGAATTTTCTGTTGAAATTATCATTGTAATAACCATTTTATGTTATAAATATTAATTTTATTTTTGATATGTTGAAAATGTTTCTAGTGTGAATCCGGAGATGTAACTACTGAATGAATCCAAAGATACATCTCCGAAATAAATTGAACCAAAAGAAATGATGTAGCTCAGAAAGACCTTTGTTGAGTGTGTGTTAGGTGCGTCTCTAAAAACATCTGGTGTATTAGAAACATATAGGATTGCTTTAGGAAATTATCAAATAATTATTCCCATTAAATTTTTTTGAAAAAAAACATTAACTCGGACTATTTTAGACTATTGATGGATCTTTAATATCTAACCTGTTTTTACATTTTGTTTCTCTTTCTCCACCTCTTTATTTATGCATTTCTCAATTCAAACCTTCATCTTCTTCTTCGCATGGTTGTGTCACTTAGCCATAAATTCTTCACACCTTCATCAAAATTCATCAAAAGCTACAAATATCAACATAATAAAAACCCATAAATTTCCATCATCTTCATCGTGTCCATTACAATATCTAAAAACCCTAAAATATACTCTACATCTGGATTTCGAGACGGTGTTTCGAATGGATCATGGTGTTGGTTTAGTAATTTCGCGGTTGGAAATAGAGTGTGTGGTGGAGGGGTGCATCCGAAGAGGTTTTCATCGAGGTTGTGGTGGTGGGATATGCGATTTCACCGGAAAAAAACTAGTAAATCTGGCAATGGTGATGATGACTATGTGTTGTGGAAATAACTTCGGTTTGAAAATGTGATACTGTGTTTTGTGGATCTGCGATGATGGCTCGTCGAAGTTGCTTCGATGATAGTGAAATGGTGTTGCAATGGTTGAGTTTAATTTCTTCTTTGAAAGTTATGAGCTTTTTGTGTTTGGATTATAGTTTGTTGAGTTTAATAAGAGAGTTTTCACTTTTAAAACTATGAAAATTGATGTTCTACTTACTTATTAGTTTTTTTTTTTGCGTGAAAAGAGTTTACTTGCAGCTGAACTTATGGAAAGAGTTTTCCTTCTTGGAGCATCCATTGCAATAAGGGATGTGAATTGGGTGATAGATTTTGAAATAATCGGATCGACACAAATTATAGCATATTGTTATATTAAAGAATAATCAACAATAATAAGAATGACGTACCTTGTAGGATTTGAGAGACGGCTGTCGGAAGAGTGTGAATATTAGATAATTACTACTCGTATTGTCATTTAGGGTTTTCGGAGTGAGTTAATTGTCTAACGGGGAGACACTTAAATAGCTAAACGACTGAGGGCAATGACCTCTCATTGGGCTTAACTGAATGGTTCAACTCATCACGGTCCATTTAGGCACAAAACCCAATCAAATGATTCATTTGTTTAGTGTTTAATAACAATAGACCATAATATAATTAATTAATAATTAATTATATCAATCCATATATGACTAACTAAATAATTAATCTAACAATCTCTCACTTGGATGACAATAATTAATTACTAAAAATATTTATTTTAGTATTAGAATATCAATAATGGTCAAAACACTAATCAATCAAAAAGAAGTAAATTTCAACGCGGTAGAAATTATATTTGATAGGGAAGACAAATCATACATGTTAAAACTCACAA